TTCTGTGGCCCCAGAGGTGGGACCTTTTTTCCCATCGTTCGCTGTTGAGGCCAATGCGAGGAGGGGCGGAGGCGTGATGAGCAAGCCGAGCGCGCGGCGGTGCGGAATCAGAGCGAGGAACCGGCAGCACCAGGAGTGTTGGGCACAGCAGCGCCAACATGGGCCCGGGACGGCCCACGGCGGCCCCAAGACCGCCCTTGACCGGGGGCGTCCCTGGTTCGGTTGCCACGTTGGTGTGCGCGAGTGTTCGCCTACTTGTGTTCTTGAGCGCTTGCTTGCGCTTCCTTGCCTGCTTGCATGCTTATTGTGCGCTTGCGTGATCTACTTCTCCTTTTTCCAACCGTATATTGTGCTTCTGGGCCCTCGCTTTGAAGGCGCAGCGCCCCGCGTCCTTCCCTCGTCCGCTGCACCGTCCCGCTCTTATCATCCCTGTCTCTGTCCTCTGCACGTCGTCATCATCGTTAAAAGCATCACCACTTTCATTGTTATTGCCGTCATAATCAGCACCCGCTTCAGCGTCTGTGTCAGACCCCATCACACGGTGCGTGGCCGCAGAAGCAGCTCCACTGGATGCCCCAATCACAGGGTCCGCATGCGGGTCCGCGCAAATTTTGGCGCACCCCTCACACTTTCAGTGGCTCCACGTGGGGCTCCACCGAAGGCCCCAGCGTCAGGGGCTGCATTCGGTCCGCCCATGTCGGCGCACGCTTCGCGGTCCCGAAGGAGTTCTGGCTAAGGCCTCAGCGTCACGGTCCGAATGCTAGCCCCGCTCACGTTTAGGAGCACACTCGAGGCTCCCGTGGCAGGGTCCGCAAGGCGGCCCCGTCCCACGTCGGGACACCCCTCACGCAGTGCGTGGCTCCGCAGAAACACCCTTCCACCCAGGGCCCCAGAGGCAGGCTCCACCTGGTGGCCCCGCTGCCATTTCGGCGCGCCCCTCACACGTTTGCCCCCAGAGGCAGCTCCACCGAAGGCCCCAGTGGCAGGGTCCACATGGTGGCCCCGCTCCGGAGCACCCTTCACACAGTTGGTGGCCCCAGAGGGAGCTCCACCGAAGGCCCCAGTGGCAGCGCCCGCATGACCCACCCGTCCCCGTCCCGGCACCCCTGATGCACGGGAGCCCCTCCAAAGGATGCGGTGGCAGCGCCCGCATGATGCCGCCTCCCCACCGGATGAAGTTCCACACCTTCGCACAGGGGTCGTAGAACCAGGAGTGCCACCGTAATCTTGGGTGCGCTTTTTCTCTGGGTCTTGTTTCGGCGCGTATCCGCTGGGACGCACTCGCGGGACTCATCTGTCAGGAGGGAAATAAACACACAGACACAATTAATCGTCGATCCCCCCAAAAAATATGGGAAAATGTGGGAAGTGGTGGGGAAGACAAAAACCCAGGAAATGAAAATATGGGGAATCTTTTTATTTGTGTGTATTTATTTGTGTGTCCTGGGGCCCCTTCAATCTGGGCCGCGCTTCGGCGCGTATCCAGTGGGGCGCACGCGTGCGATTCCTCTGGGCGGTCGCTTTGGCGCGTGGCCACGTGCGACTCTCCTTTGGGCAGTGCTTCAGTGCGTCGCGCCGCCGGGGACGCACTCGTGCGACTCCTTTGGCTTGTGCTTCGGCGCGCATCTACTGGGACGCACTCGTGCGATGTCTCTGGGCTGTCCCTCTGTGCGTTTCCCTCGGGACGCACCTGCGTGGTTCCTCTGCGTCGCGTTTCGGAGCGTCCTCGCACGCTTCGTGGTTCCATAGGAGGCCACCCCGAAGGCCCAGGTGGCAGCGCCCGCATGGCGCACCCGTCTCCAAGTCGGCACACCTCTCACACGTTTCGTGGCCCCATCGGGAGTTCCCCATCCTCGTCCCAGCTGCCTAGGGTTATTCACATTCGCACATTTGGAATCGCCAGGAAGGTTTCCTCCCCGTCCTTCCACGTGGAAGCGTGTCCGGCATGTTCGCCTGCGTGCCTGCGATCTTGATTGTTTATGGATTAGTTGGGTGGAGGACGGTGGAAACGTAGATGCGGGATGAAGCACGACGTCCCCTCTATCATCGTCATTGTTTTGTTCGTCGTCGTCGCCGCCGCTACCGTGATACACTGCGATGTAATCATATTTGGCTTCACCGCTGTATATGTTATGACTCTCGAAAGCAAAAGTCGTACGATTGTCAAGGCTTAGTCGGCGGAGGTCGATGTGTTGTGGAAGTTCCATGTCTGAGCGCACGTGGCTTCCAATGCAAGACAGTCCCAAAACATAGTGAGTCTTCGAATAGTTCACATTCCGCACTTGATCGTGGACGTTGAAAATGCGGAAGTTCGACTGCGCTGGTACCGATGTCCTCCGCATTTTGCATGCTGAAGTCATGTAGTCATGCGGTTTCCATGCTCACGTTTTTGCGCATGCATGTGTTATGGTTTTTTCCCCTTGCTAACTTTGCGCCCTCGCTCAATTGACAGTATTGCTAGGTCGCGCAGTTGAAGTCGAAGTTCGATTATCGAGCTGCTGGCATGTCCCCCAACACTCCACAGTGCGGTTCGGATTCGTGATGCTTGGCATCTCTAGTTGTTCGGATTCCCTCCCATCTGTGATTAATGATGCTTGCGTTCTCTAGCTGCTCTCATTCATGATGCTTGCCATCTCAGGAGCATGTCGCTTCCATTTGTAGGTTTCATGGGTATGTTAGAGTATTACTGCGATGTTACTTTCAGTTTATCGTAGTGTGTCAGCACCTTGGTCACAAACCCAACCGTGTGATATCCGGGGTGCCACTTCTGGAAACATCTTTTAAGATCCACTGGGGCGGGGAGGCAGGTTCGGGGGACAGCCGCGCACTTCCAGAACCTTGCCGCCCCAATCGAGCGGGGCCTGCGGGTAACCCGAAGATGTACAAACCGCCAGCGAAGGTGGAGCTGTCGACCATGGACCGGACTGCAGAGAGCATGGGCGTGACTTTGGCGCAGGTCTCATCCCACCAGCAGCGGAACAGCGCCGTGGAGCCACCACCTGCGACATGGGATGCGTACGCGAAGAAGTCGGGCGAGAATACCGGCGTCCTGGCCATGATCGACCTGTTGATCAAGGACTTGGACAAGGAAATTACCGAGGCAGAGACGGACGAGAAGAACAGCCAGAAGGATTACGAGGCTCTCATGTCAGACTCAGCTGCCAAACGCACCGAGGATTCCAAAGGCCTCACCGAGAAGGGCGCCTTGAAGGCGGACCTAGAGGCAGCCTTGGAGAAGCACACCGAGGCCGAAAAGATGGGCACCAGGGATCTGATGATGACCGAAAAGTACATCTCAGAGCTGCATGCGGAGTGTGATTGGTTGCTGAAGTATACGTCCGCGCTGCTGCGGATATCCGCCACCGTCTTTGGGAGAGGTTGTGCTGCTGCGCCGGCACTGCCGTGGCGTTGCGTGGTTATACCGTGACCTGATTGAGAGGCCAATGCAGAAGTATTGCGCTCAAGATGACTGTCTGTGGAAGTCCGTTTTGCAGCAGGGTCGTTCTTGGGTCCGTGGCCTGGATCTCTATTTCTCTGTACTTTTGGGACTCGAATTCCAAGGATCTCAGGACGGATTGGATATGGATATCATTGGTCCCCTAGGGCCCGAACATATTCATATGTACTTCCTCCCGTGGTCTCGGGAGATCGGCTTCCCAAGCGTTGTATATGGAAGTATGAACCCTTTCACTCTGGGCCTCCTAGATGGGGTCCGCATGGATGGGGTCGGAGGATCGCGCTGCATCGCCGATGCATCGCCGATGCGGCTCGATGTGGGGCCCGATTTGCTCCACGTCGACGTCGCCGATGCATCGCCGACGTTGTCGATGCGTGTATCGGCGATGCGGCGAGATCCTCCGAACCCATCTACTCCGACCCCATCTAGGAGGCTTCTAGCCATCGGATTCGTGATACTCGCGCGAGGCAGTTCCCAACCGAAGCTCTTCGAAGGGGTTGCGCGACGCGACACCGCCCGCGCTGCAGGCGCGGGTGGCGGACTTTGAGGCCCGCCAGGAGGCCCGCTCCGAGGAGATCGACTCGCTGGGGAAGGCGAAGGCGGTGCTCAGCGGGGCGGACTTCTCGCTGCTGTAGTTGGCCCGCGGTGCTCCGTACGCCAAGCTCGCGCCTGTCTCGCCTCGTGTCGTGGTGTGTGCCCCTCGGCGAGGAGAAAGGTGGGGCGGCTGGGGTGCGGATGCCGGATCGCCCAGGAAGGCGAGGGGTGAGGGGGAAATTTCGGCGGGCCTGACTTCGCGCTGCTGCAGGCGGCCTCTGATCCTGGACCGCTGAGCCCGAGCACGTCCCTCCGCCCTGTCTGCTCGACGTCGGCCGGCACTCCGAGGGTCAGGTTGCGCGGAATGCGTGGGGGGTCGGGCTCCTCCGGGCCCCGGCTTTGGCGCAAACCTGCGCGTTCCCCAGAACGCCGACAACAGTATCGCCCGAAATGGCGGGAATCTAGTGGTGTTTCGAACAAGGCGCACTCGCCCCTCAGCTCGGAGGGAGGAGAGGTGACACCAGCGGCCACCAGCGGCCACCTCCAGCGAGGAGGTCCAGAGTGCTTCCCCACCGGCGAAAATGAGGTGGCCTGCCATGGTGCAACCAATTCAGCCCAATTCATTCCAAAATCGCACTTCCCGGCAGACAAACCAGCATGCATTGAAGGGTAGTTTTTGAAGAGGCGGAGGGTGAGGATTGAAGCGCGTAGCAGTAAAAGTGTACAGTGACAGTAGGAGGAGGAGGAGGAGGAGGAGCATGCGAGACGGCGCCCCCTCCTGAGCGGGAGTCTTGGATTTACTTCCTTCCGAAAGGTAGAAAGTCGCTACCCTACGAGCAGACAGTCGCCTGGAAGTCTTGCTTACTCACTCCCAGAGGCGGCAGTGCACGAGGATGAGGAGGAGGAGGAGGAGGAGAAGGAGGAGACAGAGAGGGGCAAGGACGAGGTCGACGACGAGGGCACGTTGCTGCCGGCAGTAGGCGGATCAGGGGGCTGGTGTGATGGGGGCATGGCTGAGGAGATGCGCCCCGCGGTGCGAGAGTCTTGCGCTCAGGCTGGGCTGTATTGCTCCCAGCTGGTGCTGCACCTTTTCTTCTTGCTGTCGATGTACCTCTGGAACGTCGACATGCTCAAGGCCAGGGGTGGGGGGGAAGGGTGGGGGGGACGGGCGCAGGCGAAACGCGACGAGTGCTGAGGCCAGGCCCGCTTCCTGAGCGCCGAACTTATTTGGAGGCCCCAAATCAGCGAGAATCGTCCAGACAAACGCCCCGTTGGGACTACCGCGGGGGTTGTTAAGGGGATAGGGGGCTTATAGTGGATGCGAAGGTGGGATGTAGCTGGCGTGAACTAACTCGGAAGTGGGTGGATGATAAGCGCCCTGAGTCGCTTTAGTGGGTTGGGTGACTCCGCTACGTGGGAACAGCCCGCTCAGTCCAGATCTTGACCCACTCAGGCCACTTCTAACCCACCTGCAAGCTATACCAGGCCAGATGTAACCAACCTACCTCAGCACCCACAGGTAGCCCCCCCGATCCCCTCAGCACCCCCCGCGGTCATCCCAGCGAGCACCTCCAGAGACCTCCTCCCTCGCTCTCCCGGGGGCGGGGGGCGACAACCTCTGCCCGGCACCGCGGCAGCACGCGGCGGCCCCGTGCCCATCGCGCGGCCCCGCGGCGCACCCGCCGCGCTCGCGGCGGCGCCGCAGGCCAGGGGCGCCCGGGTCCGCGGCGCGGAGGGGATCGCCAGCAATCGCGACGGGAGCCCTATAAGACCTCGTTTTCCCGCGGCGTGGTTCGGGCGGAGGCGACCTGCGAGGGCCCCTGGGCTCAACAGAAAAATATTGGCGAGAGGAGGCGCCCGCCGTGAAACTAAGAAGGTGCGGCGCCGGGATCTCCGAGAGGGCCCGCGCCGCCCGCCGCGACGGGAGGGGCCATGCGCGACCGAGGGTGCGCGGGGTCGGGCAGGAGGCGGCTCAGAGTCAGGAGCGGGCCAGGGGGGGCCTACAAGCCTCGTCAAAAATGTTCTGAAATGGAAGTTGAGATCCTGGAGCACGATGCTTTCGGGCACTTGTCAGAAAGCGCGTTCTTCAGTGCTGTCAGGGCGGGGTCGGTTTTTGGACAACGCCGTGTCCGAGTCAACAGGGATCCGTCAGCATTGGAGTAGCGCTGACCCCACAATCACCGAATTCAGAAGTCTTCTGTTATTCAGAGGGGAAGGACTGACGGGCCTACAAGCCTCGTCAAAAATAAACAGAAGGCTTCTGAGTTTGGTGATTGTGGGGTCAGCGCTACTCCAATGCTGACGGATCCCTGTTGACTCGGACACGGCGTTGTCCAGAAACCGACCCCGCCCTCTGAGCATTGAAGAACGCGCTTTCTGACAAGTGCCCGAAAGCATCGTGCTCCAGGATTTCAACTTCCATGTCTGGATATTTTTGACGAGGCTTGTAGGACGATAGTCAATCCGTTCCCGAGCTTTCCGGAACACTCTCAGAATGTTGCGGAGCGCTGTGGGAAGGCCACGGCGCCCGAGACATTCTCCAGAGCCGCCGGATCTCAGAGATTCTCGATTTATCTTCGCCCGATTCTATCCTCGTCCAGGCATTGTCTCAGAAGGGTTGGGTCGGCGGGAACCGGGGAACAACCATGTGGCATAAACATGAAATCGCGGAGACCCGCGCAGATTCCTCGGATCGGCGCTGGGGCCCCCTGGCGGCGCCTTCGGCGCCGCCCCCGGCGCGCTCCGCGCGCCTGAGGGTGGGGGGGCCGGCGCGGATCTAAGAAATCCGCCCAGACCTCAAAGTTTTTAGGTTTATGTCATTGTTTGTTCCCCTGGGGACGGGGGGTAACGTAAGGCTCGAGTTCGCCAGAGTTCGGGCTTGCCGATCGTCTCGGGGTTTTGCGGTCCAGCTTTCGCGAGACGTCTGCAATGGGAGTTCGCATCAAATTTCAGACCAGGTCTCGTCGTTTTTTCCTGACGGCCTCGTCGGGCCAAACCGAGTCCCCCGAACCCGAGCTTGATGCCTCCACGACAGAGGGAAGGGTCGGGTCGGACTGACGGGGGGGATGGGGTACGACATCTGCTGCCTGCAGTCGGTTTCGGCCCCGCCGCGGTGCTTCCGGCGCCGGGAGGCGTTGGGGAGATCAATTTCGTGGGTTGATTCGCTAATCTGAAGTCGCGCGTGCCCCTCTACAGGAGGAATATTCAATCATAGCGCAACAAATAATATGGTGACGATTGTTCGTGCTCTTCTGGCTACTTTTTATCTTGCTTGACTATGTTTAATGTTTCGTTTAAAATCCGCCTGTAAGAAGACATGCCCGACCTAACGCTACCCCCCTTTTTCCCCCCCCCTTCTGGTCCGACCCGAAGGGGGCGCAGAGTTCTGGGGAGCCCCGCAGTGAACAACGATGTAATAGTGACGACGTCGGAGGTTGGTCAGACGAGGCCACAGAGCAAGCTTCAGAACTCACGGGTCCATTCGTGATGATCGCCGCTATCATGTAGTTTTGCGGGCGGTGGCGTCGTAAATATGGCATTTAAGGGCCACAGCGAGGGCATACGCAGGGCGTAATTGCCGTGAGCTGGGCACAATTTCTTGTAGTCACGGCTCAGGAGCGGCCTTATGAGTACTCGAGAGCGGGCCTCGTAGAAGAGCAGGATTGACACTGCGCTTGGTTCAGGGAACCCGTGTGGGCATGGCCGAGACGGCAGTGTGTGTGTGTGTGCGTGTGCGTGTGTGCGTGTGTGCGTGTGTGCGTGTGTGTGTGTGTGTGTTTGTGTGTGTTTGTGTGTGTGTGCGTGCGTGCGTGCGTGCGTGCGTGCGTGCGTGCGTGCGTGCGTGCGTGCGTGCGTGCGTGCGTGCGTGTGTGTGTGTGTGTGTGTGTGTGTGTTTGTGTGTGTGTGTGTTCGGCAGTTCCCTCGAGTGGCGCGACCGTCGTCCGGCTCCGCTGAGCTGCGTGCCCCATTCGGACAGAGTTGTCCTTTCGCCTCTTGAGCTGCCACTGGCGTTCGCCGAGGATCACCACCCACCAAACCACCCCAACCCAACCCGAAGGCCTCAATCTGCCCTCCATTTCCAGTTGGGGGTGGGGTCGGGGAACGTTAAAACCAACACATATGGAACCCGTGCCCACCCCAACCCGAAATTATAGTCTTCGGGATGGGTTGGTGTGGTCCGGTAGGTAGTCAGAGGAAGAACACGAAGATGCGTGAGACAGGGGATTGATAGCATTCGTTTCCGACTCCTCGTGTGCTTCTCATTTCTGCGGATGGGGCGGCGGAGGTGCCAGGGACCGTTAACTTCATACGAAGGGCATGACTTGGTCATCGCGCGTCCACTTGGCACTCGGCTGCATTGACGGCGATCACATCGTTCATATGGGTAAATCTGATACCGCACGTTCCGAGCGATATCGCACGTTTCGAGCGCTGCCGCGATCAAGACCGTTGTCGCACCATCAATAGCAGCGGCCCCAGAGCTTCCACAAGCGTGGCAGCAGTGGCCTCGGCAACCCCAGTGCCCCTGACGGACCGAACGCTGGGACAGCTAACCTGTGACAGTGAGCGCTACTCAGGCATCCTCGTGACCGCGACGCCGTGCACCGTCGGTCGATGCGCCTTCCCCTCGACACTGTCTGCTTGAGCGTTCCTCGTGGCGATACCGAGGCTGCATCGTCAACTCGCTCGCGAAGCGAGAACATCACGGTCACCTGCTGCGCTCATGGTTCGCTGTTGTCCCCCATGGTGCCAGCAACGCGCATCGAACCTCCTCCTCCTCCTCTTTGCCAGTCAGGCTATGTGGTTCTTGGGATTAGTTCACTTTTGGATCTGGCACCGGTGCAGGAGAAGCGGGTAAGCTCCTCCTCTTCTCTTCTTCCTCCCTGTCCGAGTCCCTCTCGGCAGCGTCTCTCGTCTCTTCCGCCCGCCCTCCTCCAATTGTGCCTGGCGGCGTGCGTCGACCGCTCAGGTGTACAGCGTGTTCGTGACCCTGCTCTTCTTCCTCGTACTGTGTCTGGCGATGCGCAGGCGATCTTGGGCCTCTCCGCGGGAGTGGAGGAGCGGACTGATGCGAGTGCGAGGGGAAGTTGGGAGCGAGGGGGCGTGGGTCGGCGGCGAGCGAGGGGGCGGAGGTGAGAAGGAGAGGCCCTTCTCAGAAGGCGGCGAGGCTTCTCAGAAGCCGTCCGGCCTTCTGAGCGGTTTTGTGTGTGTGTGTCTTTGGGGGCAGCTCGGAGAACTTGTCAGAAGATGCCGGTGGACATCCGCGCCTTCTGGGAGTGCCCGCCCCTTCTCACTTCAACCCCCAGGTTCGCCGCCGATTGGGGGGCGTTGTGAAGAATATACAGTCGGGGCCCTGAAGAAGGAACCCTTTTTGTTGGGGAGGGGCTCCGTGTTCCTCAGTTGCTTTGCAGTGCTCCTTGGGTTTGCCTGAGGTTGTCCATGGAAAATCGGAGTTTCATGTATGGGAAAAAGGGGCCTCGTTCCTTGTTTTTCGTTCCTTAAGTCAACGCCCCGACTGTAGCGACGGAAGGTTTGAAACAGTTTTTCAGCTCCTGGGGGCCGTTGCTGGGCTTTGAGGCCGTCAGAAAACCGATCGGGAGGAGGAGCCTGTCCCTTGGCAGGGATGGAGACCCCTGGGGGCCCTCGCTTTGGAAAACTGGCACGACGCCCGGGCTCGAGGTGGGTGGGGGAGGGGAGGGGGGGGTTTGCGAACCTTTGCGGAAACCCACCCGACGGCTCCAAGGGATTCTGGGGCAGCGGACCCCCCCGTGTGCCCTGAGATCCGACGTGGCCCAACAAAAATCGCAACAGCGCAAGAAATCACGCCCGGAGCCCTAGACCCCATCTTTCTGCGTCGTTTTTGGAGCCGGATCGGTCTGTGAGGGTCCCGGGGCCCCAAAGTGGGCGAACGCGCCAGTTGTTAAAAAAAGTCGCAACGCCAAGATTCCAGGAGGGGTTCGCGCCGATCTGATTCGATCCCGACCCCGTGCCGATGCGGCCCGAGCCGACGCGCGTGCTGGTTCGGCCCGACCTTCGACCGCGACGGGAGGTTCTCGGCGCCGTCCTGTGCCGCCTGGGGCCTCCTCCCCCAGCAGGCCGTCAGAGGCCGGCCCAGGAAGAGGATTACTGTGTCCCGAGACCCAGACCCCCTCGAGCAGAGGAAAAATCATCACGACGGGAGGCCTTTCGCCGTTTTTGGTAGCTGGGGGCCCGGGCCTCGGGATCGGCAAACAAGTCGACTCAGGATGAAAACCCGGTCCCGGAGAAGAGGCCGAGACCTCTGGGGGTCGACGTCATGGAAAAGTCATGACCTCGGGGGTCTGGGTATGAGAGGGGGTCGCTGGAGACCGCCCAGACCTCCCGGAGCCCACGTCCCGATCCGGCCCGATGTCCAGGCTCGGTGCCGAGGAGGGGGAGGAGGAGCAGGGCGTGAGGGAGGAGGGAAGGAGTATGAGGAGGAGGAGGAGTAGGCGGAGGAGGAGGAGGAGGCGGAGGAGGAGGGGGAGGAGGAGGAGGAGGGAGGAGGAGGAGGAGGAGGGAAGGAGGAGGCCTTTCGCCGTTTTCGCCATCTGGGGGCCCGTGCCTCGGGATCGGCAAACAATCGACTCAGGATAAAAACCCGGTCCCAGAGAAGAGGCCGAGACCTCTGGGGGCCGACGCCATGGACAAATCATGACGTCGGGGGTCTGGGGAGAGAGGGGGTCGCCGGAGACCGCCCAGACCTCCTGGAGCCCACGTCCCGATCCGGCCCGATGTCCAGGCTCGGTGCCGAGGAGGGGGAGGAGGAGCAGGGCGTGAGGGAGGAGGGGAGGAGGAGGAGGAGGAGGAGGAGGAGGGAGAAGGAAGGAGGAGGAGGGAAGGAGGAGGAGGAGGAGGAGGAGGAGGAGGAGGAGGAGGAGGAGGAGGGAGAAGGAGGGAGGAGGAGGCGGCGGACGCTGATCACCGGCCCCCCCCCTCTTCTTCCTCCTCCTCCGATCTCCCGGCTCGGTGCTGGCCGATGTCCCCCCCCCCGCGGCGCGCTCCGCCAGCCTCCTGGACGTGGCGGCCTGCGTGCTGTGCCTGCCCGCGGTCGGCCGCCGCCCTGCCCTCGCGTGGCGAGGGCCTCTTCGCCGTCGCCGCCGCGGCGGCCGTCGTCAGCAGCGTCGTCGTCGCCGCCGCTGCTGCCGCCGCCGCCGCCGCTGTCAACGTCGTCGTCGTCGTCGTCGTCGTCGTCGTCGTCGTCGTCGTCGTCGTCGTCGTCGTGGGTGCCGCCGCCGTCGGTGCCGCCGCAGTCGGTGCCGCCGTCGTCCTCGCCGTCGTGTGGTCGCCGTCGCCGTCGTCCTCGCCGTCGTCCTCGCCGTCTCGTGGTCGCAGTCTGGTGTCGTCCTCGCCGTCGTCGTGGTCGCCGTCGTCGTGTGGTCGCCGTCGCCGTCCTCGCCGCGCCAGGGCCCGCGTCGTCGGGGCAATGGCTTGTAATCCGTTGTAGCGTGCGCCCGGCAGGACGGGGAAGGTCTGAAGGGTCTGCAGCTCTCGGGCCTAAGCCCCTCGCACCCAGCGGTCACAACACCCGCACCGAGCAGGCGTTCAGCACGATGCACCGATCCGAACAGTGGCATCCCACCGCAATGCCAAGGACGTCCCTGCGTTCACTGTCTAGGGATAGGGCACGGAGGAGGAGGAGGAGGAGGAGCAGGAGCAGGAGCAGGAGGAGAAGGTAGAGGTGGTCTAAACGGTGTGACGCTCACTGTCATGATGTAATGTCTACGGGTGGCGATTGCCGCGGACGGGTTTGCCTCTCCCACCGTCTAGCGACGATCAGCCCGACCTGTGCCACTCAGACAGGCGAGCAGAGACATGGCCCGCTCTGTCAAGCATGGCGCTGTCGATCGGGTATGCACTCTGTGGTCTCCGATGTTGCCTCACCGCCCAGTGTACCCGGCGTCGAGGTGAAAAAGCACAATCCTGGCATCGTGTCGTGTGGAGGACCGAGTCGGTCACCATGTGGTGGTGCTTATCTGCTAATCGCGTGGCTACACGTAGGTCTCTCTCCACAGGGATGCGTGGCGTGCGAGCCGGCGCGGGGAAGGATTGCGTCCCCATGTCGTTGTCGTCCGCCGCATCTGCATTGTGCAAGGTACAGTGGAGGGAGAAAATGAAAAGGGGCGATTACGAAATGTCGGTGATAGGAGGAGGCGGGCAATGTGAGGGAGACATGGGAGCACGCGGAGCGGAAGTCTAGGCGGAAGGTAGGAGGGCGGTGGCAGGGGCGCGCCGCCAGTCCAAGGTCTTCCTCAGCAATTCGATTCGCGATCTCATGATGCCGCATTGCTTCACTGTGAGCAGGTGCGCTGCCGCATTGCTTCAATGTGTTTCATTAATTCTGGCCTAGCCTCACGCTTCTCCTGCTCAGTGCTTGTCTTGCTGCCTTGCGTGTAACTGCATGTATGTTGCTCTTACCAGGCTGCTGCACTACGCTACTCGTGGTGCAGCGTACGTGACAGCCACGGTTCCCAGTGCACCTGTGATTGTCAGTGCCGCTTACTTGACATTGGGCCTTCAGTTCAGAAACGAGCGCACAGGTTAGATGTAGATTTCTGTGCAGATTGCCCGCACATAATGTGACAGGTCAGCGTTTCATTCCGAAAGTCGCCCTGCACAGTGACCCTGTCGTTGCCACCATGTTGTCAGAGTCTTATCGCGCTATCTTTCAAATGCTTGGCGCACGCCACCATGCATTGCCAACGTTGTGTTGCCTCCGCATGCTCCGGATGTTAATCGGCTTTCTCGCGGCAGCCGCTTTTGCGGCTGCTCCTGTGCCGACGTTGAGGTTAGATAGTCAGGTCGTGAACGCGTGGTATGTGAAGCAGCTCAGAGTAGGACGTGACGATGCGGAGACTGCACGATAACCCAAAGGACTTCGGACTTGCACAGGGTTGGTTGTAGCGAGCGGGAGGCATGGCACTCGGCTGGTTTCATTCTAGGCCTCCTAGATGGGATCGGAGTAGACGGGGTCGCAGGATCGCGCGGCATCGCTGATGCATCATCCGATGTGGCTCGATGTGGGGCCCGATTTGCTTCACGTCGACGTCGCCGATGCATCGCCCACGTCGACGATGCGTCGCTGGTGCATCGCCGATGCATCGCCGATGCATCGCCGATGCACCGGCGATGTATCGGCGATGCGGCGCGATCCTCCGACCCCGTCTACTCCGACCCCATCTAGGAGGCCTCTATTCATGCCAACAGCCAGCTTGAGCCAGTGCTTCTTCCATTCGAGCGATACCCGTGCACCAGGTGAGACATGCGCCGAGAAGGTGTCGAGGAGTGAGTTTGGCCGCGGCGCCCTCTCCTGTCCCTTGTCTCCAGGTGCGTCTCGGCACAGCTCGGGGGGGGATTCTGGGATTGATTCCAGTAGGAGCCCTTACACGAATCCAGAGAGAGCAAGAACTGGATTCGAACCATGTGTAATTGTGGGGGGGGAAGACCGTGGGGAGGAGGAAGAGGAAGAGGGGGACGAAGAGGAGCACGGTCGCATGAGGCTCTGCGGGCTCTTGGCCCGCTGAGGCCGCTGGGCCCGCCCGACCGGTCCGGTACACGAGCAGGTGCGAGTGGCCTGCCCCCTCACCAGTGTCGGCACGTGTCTGAGAAGCGCCGAGGGCCCGCCTGGCCCCAGCCCCCAAGCCGCCCCGAGGTCCACAAAGCCCCAGAGCCTGTTTTTCTTCAGGTTCAGGCGCCTTTTTCCTTGCATGGCGTTCGCCCCCCCCCCCCCCCCCCCCCCCCCCTCTCGCCCCTCTGCAATCGCATACGGGCGTGGTGCAAGTGCCGTGCGACTTGCGTGGCTTCCGCACGTCAAGTCGTTCGCAACTTGCTATAGGTTCAGGCCCCCCCCCCGCCCATGCAAGGGAACGGGCCAAAATCTTACAAAAGCTGGCTCCCACGGATGCCCCTCCGGTTCATCCCCAGGTTCCTCCCGTGGCCGACGTGGGAGGCGGCGGGCGGCGGACGGGTGAGGAGTCCGCAGCGGAGGAGCGATGGCTTCCCGGCAGCGGTGCCGGGCTCCAAATGGATCCCCACGCGACGGCCCGGAAGATGCCGCAAGAATCTGGAAGTACCCTGACTCCAGATCCGCCCTACTTTGGCTTTTTCTCCAACTTAAAATTGCATCGGAAATCCACCTACAAGAGGCCGCAAAAGTAGGGCGGAATTCTCTGCACCCAGTATAAAGTAGGGCGGACATCCACAGAAGTAGGGCGGAAACAGCAGCAGAAAAGTAGGGCGGAAATTGGCACCAGCGGGGCTTGAAAAATAAGGCGGAAATTCCAAGCCCTGTTGACGAATTTCCCCAAAGTAGGGCGGATCCGGAGTCAGGGTACTGCCAGAGCGAGGTCGACCGATGCAATCCGGAAAAGAAGGGTGTCTGCTGTCTTGTGCCCGTAGGTTCCCGCCGGGGCGCCCCAGGAAGAGCGTCGCCTCCGAGGACCGTTGGGGTCGACAGCTCGTCCTCGGCGAGAGCTGGCAGAAGCAAAACGGGGCCGCTCCGCTTTCGGAAGCGGGCGAGCGCGAGCGGAAGCACAACATGTGATTGCATAAGCATGCAGGCCGAGCGCTGAGCAAAGCCTGGTGCCGATGGCTGCCATGTGGACTGATGCATCACCGCCAGAGGATTCCATTCTCGCTGACTGCATCGATTCCTCATTGTTCGTCGGAGGTCAAGGATGTCCCTCGGAAAGATACGTTTTTGGAGGTGTCTGGGCTTCTGGAACCCACCCTCTGGGGGCCAGGGCACGCTAATCAATGCAGGCCAATCGCTGAGCGCTGCCTGGTGCCGATGACTGCCATGAGGACTGCTGCATCATCGCCACACGATTCCATGCTCGCTGAATGCATCCATTCCTCGCTGCTTGCTGGAAGTAACACATGTTCCTCTGAAACATGTATGTTTGGAGGTTTCTGGGCTTCTTGAACCCACCTCCTGGGGGCCAGGGCATGCAAGCAAATGCAAGCCAATCGCTGAGCGCTGCCTGGTGCCGATGGCTGACATTAGGACTGCTGCATCACCGCCACAGGATTCTAGTATCGCTGTGCTCATCGATTCCTCATTGTTTGTTCATCCCTAGCGCACGGACCGCAGCAGGCAGTCCGATGGTTCCCATAGCGGTTATGATACTGCGTGTGTTGCCTAGTGTCCAGTCTAAAACGTTTTGTGTTGAGCGATCGAAGATAGACGGTACAGTAGCGAGTGCGGATGAACATGAGATCGGAATTTGAAAATGCGAGTTGTGATAATTAGGGTGTCACATGTGTGTGTGTGCCGGCACGGCGCACCCATCTTTCCTGTCAACATCCAAGTCCAACATTGCACTTGTTCACACAAAATTCAAACTTGACATCTGCCCCTATTGATTGATGTACTGCGACGATGTGCACACAGTGCGATCCAAGCTCTTTGCCGAAACATCAGATATGTTGTTTGGCGCAGCTGCTTAGTGTGGCTGTCCGCGTGGGTGGCTGATGGAGGGAGGGACTGTGGGCTTGATGGGGGTCTGTCTGTTCTTTCCTTGTTGCCGCACCCATTTATGCTGCTCCGGCTTGCCTTTGTGGCCTGTTAGCAAACGGCCCAGGAGAACAGCAGAGCTTGCGCACAGAAAATCAGCGGCACGGCGGCATTGGGAGGCGCAGAAAAGGACGAGCTGTTGCGTAGTGGTTGTTGGTAATTACGGTAGACAATGGCAGGATTCGTCGGACCACCAGAGGCTTTACCGTGGTCCTGGACGGCTCTGGAGCTATCGATGTACGCGGCGGACGGGGAGGTCCGGACCCCCCCTTTACCCCCTCACTACCCAGGAGGGCCAGTTCTGCGTCGCGGATCGCTCCTGTCGTTCCCAGACCCCCGACTTCATGATTTTTTTCATGGCGTCGATCCGCACAGGTCTCGACCCATTCCCCGGGACCGGTTCTTCATCCTGGGTCGTTTTCTGACGGTCCCGAGCCCCAGCGAGGGCCCCAGAGGCCGAAAATACAAACGAAAACTCTCGCTGTGATTTCATTCATGAGCCGCGGGGGCCTGGGTTCACCCCCAGGGCGAACATCGACTAGACGTAAGAGTGACCGTTCGCTGGAGTAACCTTCGGTGCGGGCTCATCGGGGCCCCCCGATCGCCGAACGCGAAGCGGTATAGCAGCGGCTTGCGCGCCCGGTTCTGGCCGCCCCCGCGTCCCTTGCGGAGCCGCGCACTACTGGTAATAACTCTCGCCCAGGGCCGCTCTCGCGTGTAGCCGGACAACCGACCAGTGGCAGACCGGCGGCGGCCACGGCGGCGGCGGCGAAGCCCGGCCGTCGCCCGGCGCCCCGCGCGGCTCGCAGAGGCCCGCCCTGCTCGCGCGCCCGGGCGCCCCGCGGCATGGGGCCGCCCGCGCGGGCGGCCGCCGCGGCCCCCGCCAGGCCGGCGGAGAGCTTTCGGGGGCGGGATGCGCTCCCCCCCCCACCCCTTGTCCTTGCTCGCAGTCAGCCCGCAGGGTGAGGATGGGCAGCCTTGCCCAAGGGTACAGTCGGGGCCCTGAAGAAGGAACCCTTTTGGTTGGGGAGGGGCTCCGCGTTCCTTAAGTGCTTCGCAGCTTGCCTCAGGTTTCCCTTATGTTTTCGATCGGAAATCGAAGTTTAACTTGTGGAAAAAAAGGGGCCTCGTGTCTCGTCCCTTATTTAGGGTTCCTTAGGTCAACGCCCCGACTGTACTGTTGCATCCTTGCCTCCTCGGTCTCATCTTGGGCCCCTTTCGCTGGCCGCGCCTCGCCCGAGGAGCTCCGAAACGGCCTTCCAGGGCCCTTGCATCCGTACCGTGTTGTCCTTGCGATACGGGCCGACGGTAGCCCTAGGCGGTCGTTGGCAGGACCCGCTCCCCCCCCCCACTTGCTTAGCCCGGAGTCGGGCATGTCCCTCTACAGGAGGTATTGACAAAAGCAGTCTGGTGACGATTTCTTGTGCTCTGTTGACTTTTTTTCCGAGTTTTCATTTTTCTTCCAACATCCGCCTGTAGGAGGACATGCCCGACCTACGCTTAGCCACGCGCAGAGGGGAGCAGGGTGAGGGGGGAAGGCTTCTTAGAAGCACTAGGCTCTAG